CCCTAAACCCTAAACCCTAAACCCTAAATCCCAATTGGGCTTCACTCCGCTACCATTTGCTTAGGTACTTCCCCCCAAGAAACTAATGGAAAAGTGCTTCCCTTATAAGGGCAATATAGGGATTACTATTTCTTTTTTGCGCCGGGGGGGGGGGGGGTGGGTTCTTAGGCAAATTTAGTAGTCCGATATTAGCTGCTTGGGTTGGAACCGCTTTACGAATTGTATGGCTCTCATTGATGAAGCCCGCAGCTCATAGCCACTGTCCGACTTAGGCAGAGCGCCACGTTAGGGGCCCATAATCTTACACATCCCTAAGCCCTAAACCCCTAAAACCCTAAACCCCTAAACCCTAAACTCCTACACCCCTAAACCCCTAAACCCCAAAACCCCGAAACCCCGAAACCCCTAAACCCCAAAACCCCAAAACCCCTAAACCCCTAAACCCCTAAACCCCGAAACCCCTAAACCCCTAAACCCTAAACCCTCCCCAACCTCGACCTCCCTTTGCCCAGGCTCCGCCGCTTGGCCGAGGATCCAGCCGCCGCCCCGAGCAGGAAGGGTTTAGGGCTGAGGGCTTAGGACATAGGGCTTAGGGTTTAGGGTTTAAGTTGGGGTTGGGCTTTCGGATTTTAGAGTTGAGGAAGATACCCTAGAAGGGACCCTTAATCGTATTCCCCTAGAAAACCCTCTACGTTTCCCTTAAATTGTCCCTACATCCTGAGCCCCTACACCACCCCTAAGGTCCCTTATGACTCCCGCACATGTTTCTGGAAGCATCGACGTCTGGTGCATCTCCTCGTGAAGGAAAGGGTTTCCACAGCAATCGCTGCCATCGCACTCGCGACAGAAGTTCGTGGAGCAGACATGTTCTCGCGAGATTCAGAAATCGACTCATCGGTGAGGCTCTGTCCGAGTCTCTGTCCATTTCTGTGTGTCTGTGTGGGAGCTGTGCTTGTTTCGACCTATGGGCTATACGGGAGCAGACCTGAAACCCACATCCCAAATCTCTGAGCAGAGTCTTCAACCCCAATCTCTAAACCCTGAGGTCTTCTTCCTGATCGGGTGGCACTACTCGGACCGCACCCGGCAGAGGGGGGAGCGGCAGACGGGCTGGGCGATGAAGGGGTTTGAGCTTTAGGGTTATTTCGGGCTTGCAGGCTTCGAGTTTTCAGGGCGCATAGGCTTCTTACACACCCAACTCACAAAGTGCAGTTCACTCTGAAGCACGGAAACCCTGAAGCCCTAAACCCCAGAGCCCAAAGGCACGTCCCCATCTGCTTCTTTCGGCCTTGCGCCGCGATCGGGCTCAAGCCTTGCAGGCAAGTAGGCTTTAGGGTTTAGGGTTTAGGGTGCTGGGTTCAGGTTTAAGATTGTTTGGCAGGGTGCATAAGATTTAGGGCCAATTTAGGGGTTTGGGCACTCGGTGAGTAAGTTTGCAGGGTTCGGGGTTGAGTGAGTGAGGTGTAGCTCATGCAGTCAGGCAGCTTCTTCAAAGGGGATTGAATGGGGTCAGCTTTCACTTCTTCAACTTTCAGTGTCGAGTGGTAGCCACAGTAAGCTAATCGCATTCTTTCCTGCGCAAATGCAGACTCTAAACATACTCTCAGCCCCCTCACCGAGCACGGCACACGAAACTCTCGCAACCCTCCCTGAGCCCTTTTCCGGAACCTGGGCAACCAGCGCCCAGAACTGGTCTACTACTTTCTTAAGAACCCCCCAAAAAAAACAAAAAAAATCTTCCTTCTAAGGGCAATATAGGAATTGGTATTTGCTATTTTTTGGGGTTCTTAAGCACATAGTAGTTGTAGAAGTCCCCGTTGCGCCCCGACTCATGGCTTTTCCTTGGCCGCCTCAGGCACGCCGAGGCGGGAAGGAGCAAGGGATTGCGAACCCAAGCCCTAAACCCTAAACCCTAAACCCTAAACCCTGAACGAAATCCGACGCCCTGCAACAAAAGCAGAGTTCGAGCTGGTTGGTTAGTTGTGCGATGGCAGGCCCACAACACCCTCGATGTATCACCCAACTCGCAGCCCTAGCAAGCCCCTAAACCTTAAACCCTAACCCCTAAACCCCAAACCCCAAACCCTGACCCTCAAACTCTTAAGCCCACAAAGCCCACCCAGGTCACTGTGCGCTGGCTTTGCTGGCCCTGGCAGGGTTCCTCGAGGGCGGGGACTTGGGGGGGTTACGTCAGGGCTCCCTCAGGCTTGTAGCTGCTTAGGGTTTAGGGTTTAGGGTTTAGGGTTAAGGGTTTAGGGCTTATGGTATCCTGGGAGGACTTGGAGGCTTCGGGCGTTTAGGGGAGCTTTCACGGGGAATCAGGGGAAGTAGGGGCTTGGAACCCTAAACCCTAAGCCCTAAGCCCTAAGCCCTAAACCCTAAACCCTAAACCCTAAACCCTAAATCCTAAACCCTAAACCCTAAACCCTAAACCCTAAACCCTAAACCCCAAACCCTAAACCCTAAACCCTAAACCCCGGACATAGGGTAAAGCGGCCCATGGGTTCTCACATGATGCCGAGTCGCCAAAGAAAAAGCCGCTTAAATCCTGAAAACCGAAAGCTCAAGTGGTAACTTATCGAAATTAGGGTCCCTTTGAGGGTTTCCTTATGGTGATGTGGCGGCACCGAATATCTAGGGTGCCCAAAAAGGGGCCGTGATTAGGGTTTAGGGTTCAGGGTTTAGGGTTTAGGGGGCTCAAGTTGATGAAGCCTTAAAGCCTAGACTAGAAAGGCCCTTCCTGAACAGGCTCCTGGGTCTGCTGCCCGACCGGAGCTTTGTCCGGCCGAGCTGGGAGGCAGCCTTTTTGTAGCCAGTTGGTAGGGTTTGGGGGTTTAGGGTTTGGGGTTTAGGTTTAGGGTTTAGGGTTTAGGGGTTTAGGGGTTTAGGGGTTTAGGGGTTTAGGGGTTTAGGGGTTTAGGGGTTTAGGGGTTTAGGGGTTTAGGGGTTTAGGGGTTTAGGGGTTTAGGGTTTAGGGGTTTACTGCAGGGCTTCGCAGGGCCTTTGCACTTGGTGGGTTGGGAAAGGGAGGGGTGCTCAAGCCCTCTATTATCAGAGTCATCTTGGGGAAGTGTCGAGCTGCTTCCCCAACCCGATTCCCCACGCCTCAAGCCCCTGATGACTGCATGCTTTCGAGTTTTTTGTAAACCCTAAACCCTAAACCCTAAACCCTAAACCCTAAACCCTAAACCCTAAACCCTAAACCCTAAACCCTAAACCCTAAACCCTAAACCCTAACCTAAACCCTAAACCCTAAACCCTAAACCCTAAACCCTAAACCCTAAACCCTAAACCCTAAACCCTAAACCCTAAACCCTAAACCCTAATTAAACCCTAAACCCTAAACCCTCAACCCTAAACCCTAAACCCTAAATGTTCAACCCCAATTCTGAACTGCTGGAGCTTCTGCCTGCGCCAGGCTCGACCAGCAGACCCGGTATCCGAAACGCACCGCGCGGAAGGCGTAGCCTCCAGGGTTAACCCTAAACCCTAAACCCTAAACCCTAAATCCTGAACCCGGGTTTTGTGGAACTAAGGGGGGGTTCTGCAGGGCTTGGGGGCTATGGGGTCCCTTTATACAGAAAGCCGAAGTGCTAAACCCCAATGCCCGCAAACATGGAATCCCACTCAAGAACGCGCTAGAAGTCTAAGCCGTATAAAAAGGTAGCCCCAAAGCCCTAACCACCTCGCAATGGTTCAGCTGTTTTATTTGGAGACGCCCCGGCGTTGGTAGGCGGCCTGTAAGTAGGTGCATCGGGTTAACGCTTGCGAGTCGCCTGACTCTGTGTGGACTCTGAACCTATCATCACCCTGCACCCTGAACCCTAAACGCCCTGAACCCTGCACCCTGAACCCTGAACCCTGAACCCTGAACCCTGAATCCTGAACCCTGAACCCTACAGTACCCGAAAGTACCCTAAGCACCCCGACCCCTTGAAGCATCGACCCATATCTTGGTAGCCCCTATTGGTACCCTTTTTACCTTTTGTAAGGTACCCCTTAAATCCTAAACCCTGAAGCCTGAACCCTAAACCCTAAAACCGAAACCCTAAACCCTAAACCCTAAACCCCACGTCGTGGCTATCTGAGCGCGAGGGCGGCGCAGCCTTGCCGCCGCGATCCTCGCCAGAAGCGGGCTTTGGGGGCCTTGTAGGGACTGGGGCAGGCTTCGACAGAAAGGCTTCGGAGTTTAGGGTTTCCAAAGAAGGGCTTAGGAGTTTAGGGCTGACAAAAGAAAGGGAGTTTAGGGCTGAACTAGGGCTTCGGGGCGTTTTCAGGCGTAGGGTTCAGGGTCTAGTGTCCCTGTGGTCTGATTTCGCATGAAGCTCTCTGGAGTTCCAAACGTCTTGGGAAGCCAAGTCATGTCCAAAAGTCATGAAGCAAGGGCGATGGTAATGGCAGCCGGTGCTAGACATTGCTGCCGGAAAGACCGTGTTTGCCGAAGATGAAGCCCTAAGCCCTAAGCCCTAAGCCCTAAACCCTAAACCCTAAACCCTCAACCCTACTGTGTCTATTCTGCGCTGCAGCCACAGATGCGGCCCCACAACCCGGCCAGTGTTTAGGGGTTCAGGCTTAGAGAGTTGCCTAAACCCTAAACCCTAAATCCTAAACCCTAAACCCTAAACCCTGAACCCTGAACCCTGAACCCTAAACCCCAGACCCTAAACCCTAAACCCTAAACCCTAAACCCTAAACCCTAAACTCTAAACCCTGAACCCTGAACCCTGAACCCTAATTTAGAGTTTGTGTTCGGTGTGCCCGAAGCCTCAAAAGCTCCAAGCCTGTCGAAGCGAGGCTACTTCTGGCACCCCTTGCTGCACAGGCAAAGCCAGGCCTGCTCTTCGGGTGTAGGGTTTAGGGTTTAGGGTTTAGGGTTTAGGGTTTAGGGTTTAGGGTTTAGGGTTTAGGGTTTAGGGTTTAGGGTTTAGGGTTTAGGGCAAGTTTAGGGTTTAGGGCTTCCGCGGAGTTTGTGTGCGACTTCTTTTTTTTTCTTCTTTCCTTATTTCTTCTTATTTCTTCTTATTTCTTCTTATTTCTTCTTATTTCTTCTTATTTCTTCTTATTTCTTCTTATTTCTTCTTATTTCTTCTTGTTTCTTCTTATTTCTTCTTATTTCGTCTTCTTCTTCTTTGCGCTTGTTGCTTCGTGAAAGGGCTAAGGTCTGTCATGCAGCGCATCCTAAGGATACTATGGAGTCTGACCAGGCTGTATCTGACTGGTTTGCCGTCTCGGAATTGGAGACTTTAGATATCATCTTCTTCTTGAACGCTGGTGTGAAATTAAACGGAGGGCCTATTTTTTTGGGTCTTTTTTTTTTTGGGCATTTTTTTTTTTTGGTCGATTTTCTTGGTTTTTCCTAAGAAAACCACCATTCCCTCCATATTTTTAAAGGATTTGATGCATTTTCGTGGTTTTTGGTACGAAAAACAGTAATTTCTCTGTGGTTTCATAGGAAAGCGTTATTTCTGGTACGTTTTAGAAGGAAAGAAGGAAAGAAAGGAAGGAAGGAAGGATGAAAGAAAGGAAGAAAACAAGGAAGGAAGGAAGGAAGGAAGGAAGGAAGAAAGGAGGGAAGGAAGAAAGGAAGGAAACAAGGAAGGAAGAAAGGAAGGAAGAAAGGAAGGAAGCAAGGAAGGAAGAAAGGAAGCGTGCTTCGAAGCCCAAGAAACTAGTTGAAAAACATCGTGTGAGCATTGTGTTTGCAAATGGGGGGGGCTGCGCCCCCCCCAACCCCCCCGCTTTTTTTGTTTTTTTTTAAGCCGTGCAGAGCGTGCGTGCTTCAAAGCCCAAGAAACTTGTTGACACCCATCATGTGAGCAGGGTGTTTGCAAATGGGGGGCGCAGACCCCCCAACCCCCCCCCGCTTCTTTTAAGCCGTTCAAAGCCCAAGAAACTAGTTGAAAAACATCGTGTGAGCATTGTAATTGCAAATGGGGGGGGCTGCGCCCCAACCCCCCCGCTTTTTTTCAGCCGAAGCCCAAGAAACTAGTTGAAACCCATCATGTGAGCAGGGTGTTTGCAGATGGGGGGCACAGCCCCCCCCAACCCCCCCGCCGCTTCTTTTAAGCCGTACCAAGCGTGCTTCAAAGCCCAAGAAACTAGTTGAAAAGCATCGAGTGAGCATTGTGTTTGCAAATGGGGGGGGCTGCGCCCCCCCCAACCCCCCCGCTTTTTTTTTTAAGCCGTGCAGAGCGCGCTTCAAAGCCCAAGAAACTTGTTGACACCCATCATGTGAGCAGGGTGTTTGCAAATGGGGGGGGGCTGCGACCCCCCCCAACCCCCCCCGCTTCTTTTAAGCCGTACCAAGCGTGCTTCCCAACCCAAGAAACTAGTTGAAAAACATCGTGTGAGCATTGCAAATGGGGGGGGCTGCGCCCCCCCCAACCCCCCCGCTTCTTTTAAGCTGTACCAAGCGTGCTTCAAAGCCCAAGAAACTAGTTGAAAAACATCGTGTGTGCATTGTGTTTGCAAATGGGGGGGGGCTGCGCCCCCCCCAACCCCCCCGCTTTTTTTAAGCCGTGCAGAGCGTGCTTCAAAGCCCAAGAAATTTGTTGACACCCATCATGTGAGCAGGGTGTTTGCAAATGGGGGGGGGGGCTGCGCCCCCCCAACCCCCCCCCGCTTCTGTTAAGCCGTACCAAGCGTGCTTCAAAGCCCGAGAAACTAGTTGAAAAAAAAGTATGAATCCGATGAAAATATAGAGGGAATGATAGAAACCAAGAAAACGAACCAAATAGGGTTTTCCCTAGGACAAACTAAGGAAAAGCAACGTACGCTTTGACGTTTGACGAAATCCGTCCAAAATGTAATCAGAAGAGGGTTTCCTTAGGAAAAACGAACGAAAACCTCGTTTTTTTCAAGCCGTGCAGAGCGTGCTTCAAAGCCCAAGAAACTTGTTGACACCCGTCATGTGAGCATGGTGTTTGCAAATGGGGGGGGGCGCCCCCCCCAACCCCCCCCCCCGCTTCTTTTAAGCCGTACCAAGCGTGCTTCAAAGCCCAAGAAACTAGTTGAGAAACATCGTGTGAGCATTGTGTTTGCAAATGGGGGGGGCTGCGCCCCCCCCAACCCCCCCGCTTTTTTTTTTTTTAAGCCGTGCAGAGCGCGCTTCAAAGCCCAAGAAACTTGTTGACACCCATCATGTGAGCAGGGTGTTTGCAAATGGGGGGGGCTGGCTGCGCCCCCCCCCAACCCCCCCCCCGCTTCTTTTAAGCCGTACCAAGCGTGCTTCCAAGCCCAAGAAACTAGTTGAAAAACATCGTGTGAGCATTGCAAATGGGGGGGGCTGCGCCCCCCCCAACCCCCCCGCTTCTTTTAAGCTGTACCAAGCGTGCTTCAAAGCCAAGAAACTAGTTGAAAAACATCGTGTGTGCATTGTGTTTGCAAATGGGGGGGGCTGCGCCCCCCCCAACCCCCCCGCTTTTTTTAAGCCGTGCAGAGCGTGCTTCAACCTAAGGGAAATTACAGGAAATCCGTCCAAAATGTAAAAAAATAGGTTTTTCCCTATGAAAAACCAACGAAAACCTCAGGGAAATGACAGAAAATCCGTCCAAAATGTAAGGAAAGTAGGGTTTTTCCTAGAGAAAACCAAGGAAATCGACCAAAAAAAAAAAAAAAAGGCCCCCCCCCAAAAAAAAAAGACCCAAAAAAAACTCCACCCAAATTAAACCATGGCTGTTGAAGATCTGTGTCGAACACTCGAATCGAAACCCTAAACCTTAAACCCTAAACCCTAAACCCTAAACCCTAAACCCTAAACCCTAAACCCTAAACCCCAAAGTCTAAACCCTAAACCCTAAACCCTAAACCCTAAACCCTAAACCCTAAACCCTAAACCCTAAACCCTAAACCCTAAACCCTAACCCTAAACCCTAAACCCTAAACCCTTCAGGCTTCAAGGCCTAGAGTAGCAACAGGACGTTTGTGTTTCTGTGGCTCTTTCTTCCACAGGCCCGGTGCGCGTTGCCCTCCACTGAACCTCGAAGCCCTTAAAGCACCTCACCGTAAGGGTTTAGGGTTTAGGGTTTAGGGTTTAGGGTTTAGGGTTTAGGGTTTAGGGTTTAGGGTTTAGGGTTTAGGGTTTAGGGTTTAGGGTTTAGTATCGGAAATTGAGCAGGCGTGCCGACGCCGGTAGAGGTGCCTCGGCAGCAAGAAGTGGGCTTCGCGGAGAGCTGCAAGAACCCTTGATGGGTGTCAAGTTGGGATTACAGGGATTCGGGTTCAGAGTTCAGGGTTTAGGGTTTAGGGTTTAAGGGTTTAGGGTTTAGGGTTTTGGTTGGGTTCTCACTTGAGGCTTACATGTAGGGTTTAGGGTTTAGGGTTTAGGGTTTAGGGTTTAGGGTTTAGGGTTTAGGGTTTAGGGTTTAGGGTTTAGCCTTAGAGCCCTAAGTTCTACATCCTCTAGAGGTGCAATGAAGCCCGACCTCAAGCTCAACACCACGAAATGTCCCTAGACCCTAAACCCTAAACCCTAAACCCTAAACCCTAAACCCTAAACCCTAAACCCTAAACCCTAAACCCTAAACCCTAAACCCTAAACCTAAACCCTAAACCCTAAACCCTAAACCCTAAACCCTAAACCCTAAACCCCCAGAAGCGCTGCCAACACTCGGCCATGACAGGTAGCCCCGCCCTTGTCCGCAGCGTGGAGTCGGGCTCTTGGGCTTTCCGAGGGAAGCAACGGAAGGGATTTCTGAAGGGAGGGTTTGGGGTTTAGGGTTTAGGGTTTAGGGCTTAGGGTTTAGGGATTAGGGTTTTGGGTTTTGGGTTTTGGGTTTTAGGGTTTAGGGTCGTTCGTCATTTCGTCATGGTCAGGGCTCTTTTTCAAGCGTCTCAAGAGTGGCGGGCTTTGCCCTGTGAGTGCCCTTGGGGGTTCGGTCTTGCAATCAGGCTGACAGGTTGTCGCCACCTTTCTTGCCTAGGATGCCCAGTAGTACCCTTATTCCCTTTTTTGGGGGGTTTAGGTTCCCTTATAAACCCCTTTAAGCAAAAAGGGGCACCCTTCGGACAGCACACACACCTTCAGGGGCTTCGAGGAGGGTTTTAGGGTTTTGCGTTCCCTAAACCCTAAACCGTAAACCCCAAACCCTAAACCCTAAACCCTAAACCCTAAACCCCAAACCCCAAACCCTAAACCTCGGCCCAGCAAAGCAATGGAGATTAACTGCTTCAGACATTTGACTGAGGTTGAGGCCTAAAAACCCTACAAAGAAGCTCCAAGCTGCCCTAGGAGAAGAGACCTCAGCTTTTACTCTTCTAAGTCTTTTGGGTTTGGAAGGCTTGATTTTGGATTCTATAGGGGTCGGAATAATTACAAATAGATAGTACCTACGAGTGGTAGGTTTAAGTCGACCCTGCCGGGGTGAAGTCGTGCCAAGCCCATGTGCCGCAGGGTTTGGGCTTACTTTCCCATATCCCAACATATCTTATATTTCATCAGACCCAGAGTTTTGCGGTCTTATAGTACTGTGCACATGGTTTTGGAACATTTCCGGATCGTTGTTTGTGCTGTAACCCCGAAGCTTCCGATGCATGAAACCATTGCAAGCATTCCCCGCAAGGCGGAAGTTGTCCCAATCCCAGTGTGCCCCTCGGGAACGCTGTAAAAACCGCGACACTATGTCACATGGGCTATGTTCTCAGATGGCTTGTGTGGGGCGTGCCACTAGGGAAAGACGACAAACCATGAAACAGAATTTCAAAAAACAATCACCTCGCGCGGGCCTCGCGCAAGGTCGCGCGACCCTCGCGCAGGGCCACAAATATGCCCCTCCCCAAAACAGTGGATTTTCCTTCACACTGCATGCGAAGTTGCTCGGATCAAAGTTTTGCAGCAGGGGCGAACGGGGGGAAATCCATCGGAGCAACTTTAAAAAAATCAAAGTTGCTCAGCAGGGCGGAAATCCATCGGGTCAAAGTTGCTCAGCAGGGGGGGAAATCCATCGGATCAAAGTTGCTCAGCCCAACCCATGCTTGCCAACCCTGCAACGGCCGCAAAACCATCCGAAAAACCATGTGCCCCTGCAGTTTCGCACTTCAAAACCGCTTACCAATGATGTTTTAAGGCTTCTCAACCCACTGTGCACAGCTCTGGTGCCATTTTTGTAAAAAGGCGCGAAAGCTCTCAAAAGCCATGTGCCCCTGGGGTTTCGCTGTTGCTGGGCCGACTTTACACCACCTGGGGTGACTTCCTTCCTCTGCCTTGTTTTGCTGTGTGCCACAGGGGTTGGGCCGACTTTACACCGGGTGGGTCGAGATAAACCCGGCGCTTGTACATAATTATACTGTAACAACCCCAAAACCCTGTGTGTGTGTGTGTGTGTGTGTGGTCGACCAGGGTGCGCTCGGCCTTGTTACAACGCAGCAGCCCCTCCAGCGCGAAGGCTTAAAGGGCCAACCGCGGGCCCCTCATCCATGCGTGTTTGCATCACTCAGATCTCCACGGGCCCGCCCCCCCAAACCAGAAAGAGCAAGATACGCTCAATCCGGCAAGGGTTGGATAGAACACTTGGCAAGACAGCCCGCATCAACGATCCAAAGCTCTTCTCATGGCGATCCCTCGCCAGGATACTAAGCAAGGGATGCAAGCACGGAGACAGGGCAATCTAGTTACTCTAGGGTCCACCACACTCACGCACATCACGCACCGGCAGCACGTTAGGGGCCACCTCCACCAAATGGCACAAGGAGCCATTCCCCTCAAGCTGCACACTTCACTGACAATCAATATGCCCTTGGCGTATGGGTGAGCACCCAAAACTTTAGGTGCCCCCCTGGACAGAAGGGTGAACCCCAAAACCCTATTCTAGTCATTAAGGCACCTTTTTTTACAGGGTTGGAGGTTTGCAAGGGGCAGGGTTCCTGCAGCCCCTTGAACCAAACCGAAAGGAGCTCAGGTTAACTCGAACTCCTGGACATGAGTCAGAGTTTGGTCTAGCCTCACTGTGAACTGGTGTTGGGGTCTAGCAGCTGCAGGGGACCGGGTTGTGAGGCCTTCACGGGGTTTTGGGTTCAGGGTTTACGGTTTAGGGTGTTTCGCTGGGTGCTGCAAGGGCTTAGGGGGCACCTGAAGAGACCCCACTGAGGCGGGGCCTTACAAGGCATCGCTCAAAACATCGCGAAGCAAGTCGTCCTGCATCCGTTTGACACGGCCGGGGTTCTCGGAGGTTTGCTTCGTGCACCCAAGACCCTACCACCAACACCCTAAGCTTAATAGGTTTTAGAGTCATAGTTCCTCAATCTTCCGCAACCCCAAACTGAAATAGCGTTCAATTGAGGGAGTTGGTAGCTAGCAGACCCGTCTGCACCTTGTGGGCTGCCACTCTAGGAAAAGAACGCAACTGCCTCGGAAGTACCGAGTTTTACCTGTTTCTGGTTGCAGCGGTGGCGGTGTTTGTGGCTGTCAGTGCAGTGCTAAAGCTCTTTTAGCGACATTGCTTTCCACAGCTGATTGGGTTGCCTTTCTTGGATGCTGCTAATGGTATTTTACCGCTTCTTCTTTTATTTTTTCATCTTGTCTTGCTGATGGGAAACACTTTGGTAATCCACTCCCCCATTATTCAACCCCCCGCCACCCCGCCCCCCCCCTAATATAAAATACTCCCCCACATACTATAGGGGGTATTTAATATTAGGGAGAAAGGGGGGTTTAATATTACGGGGGAGAGATTATTCGGCCTAGCTGCTTAGCTACTACCATCAACGGGCCCATCGTATGGCGAGGAGCTTGGTTGATCCGGGAGCACCTAAGCTCTGGACAAAGGTTAAGCCCCGAATGCCTTGAGTTGAGGGTTTAGGGTTTAGGGTTTAGGGTTTAGGGTTTAGGGTTTAGGGTTAAGGGTTAAGGGTTTAGGGTTTAGGGTTAGGGTGTAGGCATAGTCGCATGGCCGCTCCTTAGCCCCAGCCTCTACTCTAGCCAACTCCAAAGCCTTCAAGCACAAGCCCAGCAACCCGGCATAAACCACCACAAACCCCCCAATCCCTACACCCTCCCTACTATAGGGGCCTTAGTAATTAGAATAGGGTTTTGGGGGTTATTATAGTATAGTTATAAAGGGACCATCAGGGAACGCAGTTAGTAATTCTTCCGACCCCCATATTACACTCTGCAAGAAGCTGCAGGTCAAGACCCGCCTTCAAGCACAGGCCGGCCGGCCAGAAGCAAGTCGTGCGGTGCCGCGGCAGCAGTCGGTGGTGTAGGTTTTAGGGCTTGGGGTTTGGGGTTTCGGGCTTAGGGTTTTGGAGGTCGGGCGTACACGCGCGCCTTGGGCTTGAGAGAGGGGGTTGATGATCTGGGGCCTTCAGGGCAAGAAGGGGTCAAGCTTTCAGTGGCTGCAGCAGCCAGAAGGGATGGAGGGAGTTGACCAAGCCTGTCCGACTGCCCTGCAGCAGATCAAGCATTATGGAAGCTCACCCGCGAACTCCGCTGTGAACTGAGAGACTCGATGCCGAGACAAGTATCGAATATTATTAGTAATTATTCCGACCCTCCCAAACCCTGAGGCCTAAAGCCTTGCAATGGAAATTCTTTCGTCCTCGGAGAGGGGAACCCACGCCTCGACTGAGCTTCCAAGCAGCCGGTAGTAGCACTTCGGGTCCTAAGCCCCGAAACCCTTAACTGGCCCTAAACCCTAAACCCTAAACCCTAAACCCTAAACCCTAAACCCTAAACCCTAAACCTTAAACCCTAAACCCTAAACCCTGGACAGTTGAGGATTCAGAAGCTATTTGGTTTAGGACAGTCTTGGATTCTTGCTTTCGGTTTGGGTAGGTTGTTTTGGAAGAAGCTGTGAGGCAGGAGTGCCTCGCATCGAGATCTTCTTATGAACTAAGACCTGCCACTTCTTTGTGAGGATCTGGTTGAGCTTTAGGGTTTAGGGGTTCAGGGTTTAGGGTTTAGGGTTTAGGGTTTAGGGTTTAGGGGGTTTAGGGAACTTATCAGACTTAGAGAGCCTTCAGGATGTCTCCCGAGAATTGGACATCTTTGCTACAGACTGCTTGCGCACGCGATGCGGTCGCGAGCACCTTATCACAGGGTGCTCGACGGCAGCCGCAATCCGAAATCCTAAAAGCCCGGGAGCCTGAAAACCAAAGCCCCAAAGAGGGCTAGAGCATTGCAACTGGGAACCCCGAAGCCATGAAACCATATAGCCCCAGGACCCGAAGCCCTAGACTCTAGACCCTGTAGGAGCTCTTCCGTGACGTCTACCGCGGCCTGCTTCCCACCCTTGTGAGCGGCACGCCAGGCAGGACTTGCGTCGCGCTATGGTCTGTAGGGTTCAGGATTTAGGGTTTAGGGTTCATGATTTCGGGTTTAGGGTTTAGGTTAGGTTTTGGGGCTGTTGAAAGCATTGTAGCGTTTCAGGGCGTGAAGCTTGTTCTATCGGATCCTGGGCTGAGGATTGCGGGACGCCTGGGGGCTTCAGGGCTTCGTTTCAGCCCTAAGCCTGACCTGGTGGAAACATTTGCGGAAGCGGAATCGTTTGCGGACAATGTTGTGGAAGGTTCGCCAGCTTCCGTGCTTTTGTGCTTAATTTCCGCATTTTCCACTTCCGCACGTGACAACTGACTCCAGATTTTCCACCCACAAATCAGCACCTTCACAAGACCAGCCCTTGAAGTCAGGCTTTAGGGTTTAGGGTTTAGGGTTAGACCCAAGAGTAACCTAGGAAGTGTGGACCCAGAGTAGGCCCTTGTTTCCGTCTTTTGGGGTTTAGCAACCCCTTTATGCCAAACAGGGCACCCTTGGTATTCCTAGGTTACTCCTGAGTCTAACCCTGCACTAAACCCTAAGCCCTAAATCCTAAACCCTAAGCCCTAAACCCTAAACCCTAAACCCAATAGGGCCTAAAGATTACTCCTGGGTCTAGTTGAAGAGAGGGCACAAAAAGGCTTGGCTTGGAGCCTTTAGGTAAGGTGGCCCCAAAATGAGTAGTTGCCGAGGGGCCTGTCCAAGGCTTTGGCTTTTGGGTTTTTTTAGGGTTTAGGGTTTAGGGTTTAGGGTTTAGGGTTTAGGGTTTAGGGTTCGGAGTTTATGGCGGGTTAAGGGGGGTTCAGGGCTTTGGAGCGTAGGAGTGTAGGGTTGAGGGTTCAGTAGGGAACCCTAAACCCCTAACCCCTAAACCCTAAACCCTAAGCCCTAAGCCCTAAACCCTAAACCCTGGACTTAGGAAATTGGGATCCCCGATCCTTTGTGACAGGCAGCGCGGCCTTCTTTGCTGCGAAGGCCTCTGGTTGGGGCTTTAGGAGGCTAAGAAGGCTACCCTAAACCCTAAACCCTAAACCCTAAACCCTAAACCCTAAACCCTAAACCCTACACCCTACACCCTAAACCCTAAACCCTAAGCTCTAAAGTGGCTTTGGTTAGATCGATGAAGGCCGGATCGAAGCCCCACACCACGTGGTCTCTTTAAGTAGGGTTTCTGTTTTATAGGGGGTTTTAATAAGGGTTATAAGGGTAAAAAGATAAAGAGGCCACCGGCCTTTACAAGGCTTAAAGGTCCCCCCTGAAATGCAAGGCCCCCCTTGCAAAATGCCCCCCCCAAAAAACCCTCGAGCAACCCCCAAGAGAGAAGAAGACCCGGACCAGGGTGCCCAGGTTTATTTAAAAAAAAAAATATATATATATATATATATATATACATATATGTATATACATATATATTTGTATACATACTTTTCACACATATATTTACATATACATGTATACGTATTCTTTGTTTTGTGATTTAAATATTTGTTTTGCTTTTTTGGCGGTTTTCCATCCTGCCAGGAAGCTGCGTCAGCTCAGTTACGGCAGCAGGCGGCGGGACCCCCCCACAGGATGCCCCCCCCCCCCCCCCCCCCCCCCAAGTAGAAGCTCGCTTTTGTTCATTGCTTCCTTTGCTGCCCCCCGCTGTACTACCCCTGCTAGGTTCCTCCTAGAATTAAGGCTATGGAGGGATGAGCAAGCCTAGTTAAGGTTATGTAAGGGGGAAACCTAGGGGGGTTGTATTGAGGCGAGTAGTAGGGAAACCCGTGGTTTGTGACACCTTGTGACGGAGGCAGCAGGGAAGGGAGAGTCGAGCACCCTAAGCCCTAAACCCTAAACCCTAAACCCTAAACCCTAAACCCTAAACCCTAAACCCTAAACCCGATTCCTGCTGCAGGCAGCTCCCGACCCACTGCCGACGCTCGGCGGCTCCGATGGAACCTAAACCCTGAAGCCCAAAAAAATCCTTTTGCCATAGTGTTTAGGCGTTTCCGAAATTACGGGTACCCTTTTTTGGGGGTTCCTTTAAGGGGATTCTATTTGGGGTGCCTCTATTCTGGGAAATACTCTTGCAAGCCAGAGTTAAGAAAACCCAAGCTTGGATGTTCCCCCTATACTGTATACTAACAGCTCCTTAATCGGAATTATAGCACCCTCTATCATAATCCCTACTAAGGACTGTTTAGTACAAAGGGGAACAACCCAAAATGCAGTCTTTGAGCCTGGGATCCATAAGCTGAGCTCTCAAAGCGCGCGTGTTATGGCTCAGCTAAAGGTTTCGAAGTTTAGGGTTTAGGGTTTAGGGTTTCGGTGGATGGATTGTGTGTGTGTTTTCGGCTTGAGTGTAAGATCGGTGGGGCATCGTCTGTACCCGGGACCTACGTCATACAGTTGCAATGGCAAGATGTTCATGGACTGCAGCCCATGCGTCTTCGGGTCTTCCGCCCCTGAAGCCCAAGCCCTGAACCGGGTTTAGGGTTTAGGGTTTAGGGTTATGTAGGGTTAAAGCCACTGCAAGAGGTGGCGTCGTCCTGGGCGTCCTTAGCGCAAAGGCCCCGTAGGGAAGCCCTGCAGGGGCAGCCTTGCATTGAGTGGTTCAGAGTTCGTGCCTAGGAACCCCAAAGGGGATTCTGAATTCTTCTATTGGAGAAGCCCAGCTGTGTGGGTTCGGATGGATGGGATTTCAGGCTTAGATGCTGGTAAGGTTTTCAGCTTTATATTGATCGTCGGGTGCCTTCTTTCGATGTGTCGGTGGTCAGTGTCGGATTGCCCACGCGTGCAGGACCCGAAGCCCTAAACCCAAAGCCGCTTTTACTCCCGCGAGTCCCGGGTGTTGGGCTTAGGGGTTTTTAGGGTTTAGGGTTTAGGGTTTAGGGTTTAGGGTTTAGGGTTTAGGGTTTAGGGTTTAGGGTTTAGGGTAGGGTTTAGGCCACTTTTACTCCCTCGAGTCCCGGGTGTTGAGTGTTGGGTTTAGGGGCTTTTAGGGCCTTGATGAAAGCACGGCAGGCCGTCAAGACGCCCTTCGACGTCGCCGAGACGAAGGTTTCGGGACCGGTGGGCCCCTGAAACGTAAAGTGCATCCCACCGAGCAAAGGGCACCTGGACACACTTGGATCCCACATCCGAAGCCCTTAAGTCCTCACGCCCCCAAACCCTAAGCTAAAGACGCAAGCTCCCAAACCCAAGTCCTGGGTTCCGAGTTGGGCGGGTTGCTGCGGCTTGTTCTACATTCTACAGGCTTTGGCCTATGAAGCGTTCCTAGCATGTGGGGACTGAGGCTTGATGTAACATAGGAATCCTTCACCCCTCAGTCACCTGCCCCCAACCTTCCATACTGCATCTAAACCCTGTTCCTTGGCCTTTCCCAGAAGCCCATGTGAGCAAAATCAAGGCTCCGATACGCAGCTTTCATGGGATTTTGTTCGTAGAATCCCGATGGCAGGGCAGGCAAGATATTAAACCCGGTGTGGACTGCACGTGGAAGAAGTGCAGATTTTTGAGAAGGGTTTAGGGTTTAGGGTTTCGGGTTTAGGGTTTAGGTCATTGAAGAGCTTCACTTGGATCGGGCCTTGGGTAAAGGGTCGCGCGCAGGGTTTAGAGCCCTAAACCCTAAACCCTAAACCCTAAACCCAAAACCCTAAACCAAACCCTAAACCCTAAACCCTTAAACCCTAAACCCTAAACCCTAAACCCTAAACCCTAAACCCTAAACCCTAAACCCTAAACCCTAAACCCTAAACCCTAAACCCTAAGCCCTAAGCCCTAAACCGCGCGCCAGGCCATGGCTACAGTGGCAACCGAGGGCGAGGCTTCTTTGCCTCCGGGCTGTTTAGGGTTTAGGGTTTAGGGTTTAGGGTTTGGGGTTTCATCCGCTGCTTAGGGTTCAGGATACAGCTCTAGGCTTGTGTTTCTGAGCTCTAAACTCTAAGGGGGTTCGAAATTGCAAAGAGACTTACAGGGGTTAAGGCTTTAAGGTTCGGGGATGAAGCCGGTTAAGAGACTTACAGGGGTTAAGGCTTTAAGGTTCGGGGATGAAGCCGGTTTTCGAATTCAAAAAAGGATTAAATGCAAATTTAAGCCCTCCCTGGGCTGGGCGCTGCCCCCGCGTCCCGACGGCTTAAATTCGAATTAAAACCTCTGAACCAAGCAGCAGCCGCCAGGACCCGCCACGAGAAGGATTTAAATTCGAATTTATGCCCTTTTCTGGGTCATGGCTTAAATTTGAATTTTAGCCGTCTTTGGCTGAAGGGTCTACGGGCCCAAGCGCTTCAATTTTTCTGGGTCTGACGGTCTCAGGTGCGGTCTGGGGGTCTGCGGGTCTAGAGGGTCTCAGGGTGGAGGTCGAAGGGTCTAAAGTCTAAAGCGTCCAAGGGTTTGCAGTCTACGGGTTAGGTTGGGTGTCAGGGTGAAGGTCGAAGTGTGTAAAGGGTCGGGTCTACGGGTCTGGGGCACGGGTCATCTAAGGGTCTGACGGTCTGATCTGCTGGGCCCTCGGCTTTAGGGTTCGGGTTGAAGATTCAGGGCGACGGGGTGAGGAGGCTTTCGACTTGCATTGGGCCTGGGTCCTTCGGGCTGAAGGCCTTTTCAGCCTCGAGAGGGTTCGGGGGTTTCGGGCGATCCGGCCTCAAACTATCGGGTCTGGGTCTTTGGGTTTCCGGATGAGCGGGCCTTGTGATTTGGGTTCAGGGCCTATTGAGCTGCTGTATCTATTGAGCTGCTGTAGGTCTTAGCTTCAGGGCTTGTCGTTGGCGCGAAGGAATTTCAATTCCGAACCATCGACAACCTAAATCTTACATTCGAATCCAAACCCGGACAAGTGGAGACTAGAGAGCTGTTAAATTCGAATTGATACCCGGACAAGAGGAGACTGTACAGCTGTTAAATTCGAATTTAAACCCGGACAAGAGGAGACTGAAGAGCTGTTAAATTCGAATTTAGACCTAGAGGGCAGTCTCAGCTTAAATTCGAATTTTGAAGCCTTGCATGGGTACTGGGCTTAAATTTGAATTTTAATCCCTGAAAACCCAGGAAGGCTTAAATTCGAATTAAATTCCTTTGTAGGGCGGGGGAGGAAGAACATGGAGTTAAATTCGAATTTAAACCTCTACAGCCGAAAAGAATTAAATTCAAATCTGGGCTCTCCAGAGGCGACCCCGAACCCCGCAAGCAGAAGGCTTAAATTCGAATTTAAATCTGATTTGAATTTGAAATCCGTCCATAATCTAAGGTTCGGGAGTGTCGGGTTCTGAAGAATCTGTGCTTCAACGCGTCTATGGAAACCTCCGACATTGCCAAACCTCTGCAAAAGCAGCGTGGGATTGTGGCTAGGCTTGCGGCTCAAGTCGGATGTGCCGAACGGACCTCCCAAACCCCCAAGTGAAAAACCCTAAACCCTAAACCCTAAACCCTAAACCCTAAACCCTAAACCCTAAACCCTAAACCCTAAACCCCAAACCCTAAAAGTGTGTGATACATGTGCCAAGGCCCTAAGCATCCCTGCCCTGCAAACTGCAAAAGACCTCAAAACTCCGGCGGCGCAGGCCTTGGCGTGGGATGGCTCCTGGGGAAAGCTTCGGGAAGCCTACGACAAGGACCTGCGCCGGTTTTTTTTTGCGGTTTGGGGGTTTAGGGTTTAGGGTTTAGGGTTTAATTAGGGTTTAGGGTTTAGGGTTTAGGGTTCAGGGTTTAGGGTTTAGGGTTTAGGGTTTAGGGTTTAGGGATTCTTGAGGGAGCCCGGGACCCGAGCCCTTAAGCAAGACCCTCGGGCTTTGAGAGGATGGGCTTCTTGGGTCTTGGCCATCCAACCTTGTGAAACCGTTTCAGTTGAAACGAAAGGTTTTTTCTCTCTGAACAGCTAGTACCCCACCACAGTCCCCAAGCCTTAGCACAAGCCTAAACCCTACAAACTTCCCAAAAGCCAGCTGAAGCCCCCTGGCTGTTTCAGGAGGGCTTCCCTGGCCTCTACAGAGGTGCGCCACACGGAGTCAGTCATGGGGCTGAAATTTCGGATTTTTTTCGGGATTCGTGCTCCTTGTTTAGGTTCGTGCCCCTTGTTTAGTTCTTAATGTTCTGACCTAGTAAAGTAGCTGAGTAGGTAAGCCTTTAACCTTTTGAGATATATTATAACCGTACCATAATTGAAAGGTTAACCTATTTAACCTATTTTGGCACGGGGTACTCAGCAACTAGGTTCTTAATGTGGAGAGATGAATCGGGTTTGGAGCGTTCGTGCTTCAATTTAATCCTTCATATTCTTCGAGAACTCGTTGAGCCTTGTCCCTAAAAACTGAAAACCCAACCCCCCCCCCCCCCCCTGAAAACCCTAAACCTAAACCCTAAACCCTAAACCCTAAACCCTAAACCCTAAACCCCCCTACCCCACCCCAACCCCAAACCCCAACCCCTAAACCCTAAACCCTAACCCTAAACCCTAACCCCCCCCCCCCCCCCCCTTCCCCTTCAGGGTATGGTGCAAACGTGCTGTACAAGCTCCCGGCTGACCTTGCCAAGCAGCCTGGCTCTGTAGACCTCATTCTCCCGAAGACCCCTGGAGCCCTTAGAGTTTAGGGGGTTTTGGGGTGAGCCCCGCACTCTTAAGCCCCTGAAATGAAAGCCCGAAGCTTCGCGTGTGAGGGTGCCGAAGTATGGAGCAGGTTCAGGGTGGCCTTTGCTACGAGATTCGATGTTTGGCTCCTTTGCTTGCTCGAGCTTGCAAGTGTTTTCGTGGCCCTTATTTCCTGTTTTTAGGGCCTAGGTTCCCTTATAAACCCCTTTAAACCAAAAAAAGGGTACCCTTTTTATTCCGAGGTTACTCCTGGATCTAGTCAAGTGTTTCGTGAACAGGTTCCTCGCCTATGAGGGGCTGAGAGGGTCTGGTGCAGCAGGACAGGGTTTGGGGCTTGGGCCCATTGCGGTTTGGCGGGGGCGTTGGGAGTTTAGGATGATAAATCAAGTGTTCAAGCCGGCATGACTGTTAGGGCCCTCGGGACCGAGTGCCTGAGCCCCTGACTGCCCACAGGATCTATGCCGCCGGGCGTGGCTGGTGCCATAGCCACCCTGGCGTCGAACGCCGTCACCACACCCCTGGATGTAGTGCGAACTCAGGTGATGGTGGAAGGCTCCGTGCTCTGGGCTTAGGGTTACTAGGGGGGGCTCCCAGGGGCTGGGGATGGGCAGCGTGTCAACAGCTTCGATGAGCTTTGCTGACAACCTCGGTTCGAACTCGCACGTCCTCCATGCTGATAGGGGTACATCAACAGGGGTCGGAACAATTACAAACTAGTGTTCCTTTATGGTCCCTATATATAACTACCCTACAATAATTTCCCCCAAAACCCTACTCTTAATTAGTAAGGCCCCTACAGCACATTCATGCCAGTGCGCTCCGCTTTCTGTTGCCTGGACTGGTACCTTGGTGTGCCCGCCCCTGCGCGGCAGGTGGCGGCAAGAAGTCCTCCCCGAACGCCCTGGAAAAGCTTCAGGATGGCATGGGATCTGAAGGGGGACGCGACTGAGGGTTTAGGGTTTAGGGTTTAGGATAGGGTTTATGGCCCCAGCAACAAACCTGGAGCAGGACGCAGAGTTACGTCAAGGGCTCAGGCCATTCCTGTCAAGTACCGCCGCAGGAGTTCTAATTCTTGAAACCCCGTGGCTTATGGACCCCAGTTCCTCCTGGCAGCGTTTCGGGCTTAACCTGCACCCCTCCCCCAAAGACCACCCAAAAGGATGTATTCAACATATTTGACGTCCCTTTTGAGGGTCCACCCTAAACCCTAAACCCTAAACCCTAAACCCTAAACCCTAAACCCTAGAAAAGGTGCACAGGGTTGTAAAACAAAAACTAAACCCTAAACCCTAACCCTTTCAGTAAGTTCCCAAGCCCTGGAAAACCGGCAAACTGGCCCTCCGAAAAGCCTTCCAAAGGGCTTGAGGCCTAAACCACCTACAGCCCAACCAACCCCGGTCCTAACGCTTAAAGCCACTTAAGCCCTTCGGACCCTGGAGTTAAACCCTAAACCTTAAACCCTAAACCATAAACCCTAAACCCTAAACCCCAAACCCCAAAACCCTAAACCCTAAACCCTAAACCCTAAACCCTAAACCCTAAACCCTAAACCCTAAACCCTAAACCCCACCCCCTAAACCCTAAACCCTAAACCCTAAACCCTAAACCCTAAACCCTAAACCCTAAACCCTAAACCCTAAACCCTAAACCCTAAACCCTAAACCCTAACCCTAAACCCTAAACTCATGCATGCTTGGAAAAGGAGCTCCTCCAGTCGGGCGACTCCGAGCAGATCTGGTCAGGTGCACCCTCAACCCCAAAACTCTGAGCCCTCCACCCTCGGGATCTGGGATCGCAGGGCTTAGGGTTTAGGGTTTAGGGTTTAGGGTTTAGGGTTTAGGGTTTAGGGTTTAGGGTTTAGGGTTTAGGGTTTAGGGTTTAGTGGGAGGGGTTTAACAACACAAAATGGTTCCCTTTCCAATGCTCGGGTTTAGGGTCAACCCTTCAGCGCCTAGGACCCAGAGCTTTCTTATGGGGCAGGTTCCCTTACCAGCCCCTTCAAACCAAAACCCTACACCCTAAACCCGAAACCGAAAAACCCTGAACCCTGAACCCTGAACCCTGAACCCTGAACCCTGAACCCTGAACCCTGAACCCTGAACCCTGAACCCTGAACCCTGAACCCTGAACCCTAAACCCTAAACCCTAAACCCTAAACCCTAAACCCTAAACCCTAAGCAAACCCTAAAGCCCTGAACCCTAAGCCCTAAAAACCTAAACCCCAAAAACCCCAGAGGCTTCGGCTGGCGCCTGGCCCGTGGTGTAGTTGCGGGAGCGATCCAGTTCACCGTGCTGGAGGGTGCTCCGAACACCAGTCCTAGGGTTGACTTTACCCCCTGGTTCTTAGTAGGGAATGAGGAAAAATCAGGGCCCTAATGCCCTTGAAGGGATTATGTAGAGCCCTAATTCCCTCATTCCCTACTGAGAGGGGTTGCGGGTGTAGCGTCTTACAAAGTTTAGGGTTTAGGGTTTATAGGGTATAGGGTATAGGGTTTAGGGTTTAGGGTTTAGACTACTCAACCCCAAAGCAGAAGCACACCTTCGCTTGCTGTTGGTGATGCAAGTCCCAACTTCTGCGTGAGGATTCAGGGATGTAGGGTTTAGGGTTTAGGGTTTAGGGTTTAGGGGGTTCAGACAGGCTTTGGCGGAGCCGTCAGAGCCCTCCAAGAAAGGGCTTCGGGATCGTGGTAGGTTTCCAAACGCCCTTGTACCCCTTCACCCCATAGTTCCAGCCTAGAGGTCTGCTCTGACCGGGCCAGGTACGAAGGATGCTGTGGAGGGACGGCGCTAGCGAGCACAGACAAAAAAAGGGATGCATCGTGGTCACGTCGAGGGTTGGGTTTAGGCTTGGGGCAGTTTCGGAGTGTGGGAGCATCCCCAGCAGTTCAGAGTGAAGGGTGGGTGCGGCACGCCTAGGAATGCAGGTCGAGTTCATTTTGGCCTGCAAGGCGCAATGTTTGGATTACTGCATGTTGATCAGTTTGTCCTTGGCTCCTGGCGATCCTAAGCGCGAAGCTTAACGCTCTAAAAGTGTACGGGGGCCTGTGAAGTCTCTGACCTTTTTGGGGGGTTTCGGCATTTAAGGGGGCCGTTTAGGCACGTTTTTGAAGCGACACATTGGACATGGTGCCAAGATTGCAAAAGGCCAAATGCATGCCTAGGCCCCTAAACCGACGAGCGGCCCTAAACCCTAAACCCCAAACCCCAAACCCCAAACCCCAAACCCCAAACCCCAAACCCCAAACCCCAAACCCTAAACCCTAAACACCAACTGCAGGACAAAGGTCTGGCCTGGTTGCGCCGACGACTTCCTGGCTCTGCAGAGGTCGTCCACCGTTTCTCAACTCTTCGATCCCACCCTTTGAGGTCTGCTCGGTAGGCCCTTGGGACATTCTGTATTTTCCCTTCTTTGAGTTTAAGAGGCCCCAAACCCTGAACCTAAACATTAAACCCTTTTCAGAAGGTTTTGGGGGGTCATCCCAGTCTGCAATATCTGCAGTCCTGAAGCCTGTATGTATGGGAATCGTGCTGAACCCTAAACGACCCTAAACCCTAAACCCTAAACCCTAAACCCTAAACCCTAAACCCTAAACCCTAAACCCTAAACCCTAAACCCTAAACCCTAAACCCTAAACCCTAAACCCTTTACCCTAAACCCTAAACCCTAAACCCTAAACCCTAAACCCTAAACCCTAAACCCTAAACCCTAAACCCTAAACCCTAAACCCTAAACCCTAAACCCTAAACCCTAAACCCTAAACCCTTCCCCGAAATGTGACCGCAAAGTCCCTCACAGGCACTCCGCCGTGCCTCGAGCGCCTTCGCGCGTTTCTCCGCCCTGGCGGTGGTGGTGGAGTAGGGGGGCCCAACAAAAAAGGGTTTAGGGTTTAGGGTTAGGGTTTAGAGTTTAGGGTTTAGGGTTTAGGGTTTAGGGTTTAGGGTTTAGGGTTTAGGGTTTAGGGTTTAGGGTTTAGGGTTTAGGGTTTAGGGTTTAGGGTTTAGGGTTTAGGGTTTAGGGTTTAGGGTGAAGAGCAAGAGGTCCCATGTAAGGCTTGCAGGCGTTACGAACCCTAAATATGCTTGTCTTCGACGTTTTTTTCGTGATGAAGGCCAGACAATGCCATCAAAGGAAGCTGTGGCAACACCGAAGCCCGCAACCCTAAACCCCAAACCCTAATTAAACCCTAAACCCCAAACCCTAAACCCCAAAAAATCCTCCGGCAGATTCCTGCATCTCAGCATGGGGGTTTAGGGTTTTAGGGCTACATGACCTGAGGCTTCAATTGTCTTGAGGCTTGGGGGGGGGGGATCTGAAGTACCCAAACCCAAAGGCAAACCCTAGAATCTAGAATCTGGACCCTGCGCTCCTTGGGGGTCTTGCTGCGATTTGCTTTCGGCTTGCTCGGCTTGGGTGTGAAGTGCAAAGTTGTTCTCAAGCAAGCGCTGGCCGGCGTGATGCGATTGCCCAACCCATCCATACGACGCGGTTGGATCGGTGCCAGGGGAAGGTTTCGGTGCCGTGCTACGCGGGAAGGGGCCCCCACGGTTGGAGTCGGGATGTTGCAACAGCTTGGGTACCGCCTTTGGCTTCTGTCGTGAGTTTGGTTGAGTGACGGGGCGGTGGGATGATGATCAAGACACACTTAAAGGGGTTTAGCAGAGAGCCGCGAGGCTCGTGCTGAGAGTTGTGTCTGACCACTCCATACTCCCTTTTGGGACGTTTCATGCGCCCCTGCCGACGAGTTAGCACCCTGTTTTTTTTTGTTTTTTCTGTGTGTGTGTGCGTGCGTGTCTATCTGTCTGTGTGTCTGTCTGTCTGCCTGCCTGTCTGTCTGTCTTTGCGTTGCTGCTTGGGGTCTTGGGGCCGCCTTAACCTTTAGGCTCCAGTTCTCACAACCCTGCAAGCGTGGGGATGACGATCACGACACGCAAAGGGGTTTAGCAGATGGCCGAGCCGGCCGGTGCTGAGACCTGCCTCTGACCCCTGCTTGCGGGCGCCGGGCGTTTCTGTCTTTCGCCCTTGCAGTTGGCGTGTTGAAAATGAACTGGTTGAAGTGGTGGTGGAAGCTTGACCTTCCGGGCTGCGTGCGCCCTTCAATGCAGCCAGCACAGGTAGTAAGTCTACAGTTGAAATCCTGACCCAAACCCGATATGGTTCGGGCCTGCTGAAAGGGAATACGCATGGACATTGTATTCCAAAAGCAATCCTGTAGGATCCCAAGTTGAACCTTACGTCCGTCGGGGCATAGAGGGGGTCTGGTCGCTTAGACTGGGGCTCATATTATGGTGTAGGGTTTGTGCCTGTCGAGTGCATATGTGTGTTTAGTTACTTTGTTGTCTTGCTGTGTTTGTTTTTTTCTTTTTGTTTGTTTGTGCGCTGTTTTTGTCCAAAGATGCTCGTTTGTCCGTTTGTGTGTCCGTGTGTGCGTGCTTTTTCTGCTTTTGAGCCAGCCTGTGGACCTCGCATGCCTTTGAAGACCTCGGCATATTACTTGTCGTCTTGCGGTATGCGTGGGATGATGATCAAGACACGCATGTAAAGGGGTTTAGCAGACGGCCGGCAGGCCAGTGCTGAGAATTGTGTCTGGCTGCTCTTGTTGCACCGAAGCTTACCAGTCCTTGCAGCTGAAGCTCTTTCTGTTTTGGAGTGGCGTGTGCTTGCATGCTGGTGTTCGGATGAATTGGCAGCTTGGTCGGGCGTTTGCGGACAACTTGCCGGGTTGGCGTGCTGATCGAGGTTCTGAGGCCAGTCCTCCGTCCTGAAAGTACCTCAACATCCTCGAGTTCAGTTTGGCGTCTTCGGTGGTCTGTGCTGGCGTTTCGCTGACCTCTACCAAAGCAACCTCAAATACAACTGCCTGTGACTCTTTGATGAATAACACCATTCTCAATTCTCCAGGAATCGTATACAAATCCCGCAACTCCCACGTCCCAGTTCTCAACAGTCTTCAGCCCTTCTCAATGCCTAAACTCTCAACCTTTGCAACTTGCTCTGCCTATAACTACCCTTTGGTGACCGCACAGAAAGTAACAGATCACCACAACCACAGGGAAAATACACTGGGAAAGCCATCGCCTCCCCCCGCCCCCCCTGTAGAATCCCTAAACCCTAAACCCTAAACCCTTAACCCTTAAACCCTAAACCCTAAACCCTAAACCCCTAACCCCTAACCCCTAACCCGTAACCCCTAAACCCTAAACCCTAAACCCTAAACCCTAAACCCTAAACCCTAAACCCTAAACCCTAAACCCTAAACCCTAAACCCTAAACCCTAAACCCTAAACAACCCGAGAAGCCCAAAATGCAGCAGACATTGGAGGCCAGGAGCTGTGGTCTGCCTCCTGGCGGGTGCCTCGAAGATGCGTCCGGCCACCTTCACGGCGCTGGGGTCTCAGAGGGGAGGCTAAACTCTAAACTCTAAACCCTAAACCCTAAACCCTAAACCCTAAACCCTAAACCCTAAACCCTAAACCCTAAACCCTAAACCCTAAACCCTAAACCCTAAACCTAAACCATAAACCCTAAACCCTAAACCCTAAACCCTAAACCCTAAACCCTAAACCCTAAACCCTAAACCCTAAACTAAGTGAGGGGTCGCTTCCGTCGAGCGACAGACGAAGCGAAAAGAGAAACGGAAAGGTGAGGGTTAAGCCTCACCGTCTGTCCTGCTAAACCCTAAACCCTAAACCCTAAACCCTAAACCCTGTTTTCGTAAGCTCCCAATGTCGGCCCTCAACTCAACCCGACAGTCCGCAGTGGAGCTTGGCCAGGCTGAACATCGGGGGCACCATCGCCAGGCGTGGAAGGGCTTTTTCTCGAGTTTAGGGTTTAGGGTTTAGGGTTTAGGGTCTAGGGGAGCGGGGCAGCGCGACTGCAAACAAGTCTGTCTTTGCTGAATTTTAAGCAGGGTTCAAGGTCCATAGGAGCTTGTGCAAGGCCCGCGGGCTAGGGAGTTGGGCCTGATTTTGCAGATTCGGGCTGAGGGCTTCGCACGCCCCGAGATCCTTGTGGTCCTAGCAAAGTCAGGGGACCATGTGATCCATCTGACCATAGACTGATCCTAGATCGCTTAGGCTATTCCTAAATGCAGCGGTGGAGGTTGTTGGCCTTGCGCCTCCTTGCGTCCTCCTTGCCCGGGCCGCTCGAGGTGCGGGAATTTGGAGGGGTCTAGGGTTTAGGGTTTAGGGTTTAGGGTTTAATTAGGGTTGATTCGCGGAATGTCTTCCTTCGTGCTCCATGCTCTGCGGAAGCATAAACCTCAGGATCCGCCTGTACATTTGCAGTTGCTTTGAGAACTTGAGCGCCAGCGACAGAGATGACCTCAGCTGTTGATCGGCTCACGTTCTTCAACAACTAGTTATAGCTCTCACCATCCGAGACCGTAGACCTTCACGCATCGCCATGCTTGCAGTGTGGATGACTCGGTCCTTGAGCCTGCTCGCCCTCCTGCAGGAGGTCCTGTCTGCTAGAACAGTCCTAGCCCTGCTTTGAATCTCTTAGAAGTGGAGGTAACCCTAAACCCTAAGTCTACAGTTTAGGGCCTAAAGGGTTTAGGGTACTCCAAACTTAGGGTTTAGGGTTTAGGGTTTCGGGTTTAGGGTTTAGGGTTTAGGGTTTAGAGTTAGTTAAACCCTCTTGGAGGTCCAGTGCGCAGTGCTCCGTGAAGGACAAAGCTCTGGCTGGGAAAAGGAGGAGCCCATTTGCTGCAGCCTCGCACCCGAGTCATCCACGAACATCCCTCCGGAGGCCATCGTCTAGTTTAGGGTCTTTAGGGTTTAGGGTTTAGGGTTTAGGGTGTAGGGTTTAGGGTTTAGGGTTTAGGGTTTAGGGTCTTCAAGGTTTATGGTTTAAAGCTGTCAGCCATGGGTTGCAGCCATCGAAGATTCAAGCCACATGTGAAAAAATGTGCATCTTGCAGTCTTTCGGGGCGCTGTGCGTTTGCATTCAACTGCAGCCATTCTGGCCATTTCTGGCCAAGTTTTCGATGTGAGTTCTTTACAGGACCCTGCCCCCCCGCAACCAACCGTAAGCCCGGCAGGCTCTCATCCATAAGCCCCCCCAAACCCCAAGTCCTAAACAACAACCGATTCAACAAGGTGTTTAGGGTTTAGGGTTTAGGGTTTAGGGTTCTGAACCTCTGGTTGTTTCCCGGGGGTGTCTTAGGTCGGTTAAATTATGTTATAAGCTCATGGTTAGGACTGCCAAGAAGGGATTTAGCTACTTACAGACACCATATAGTCTAGGATGCCCAGTAGTACCCTTATTCCCTTTTTTGGGGGGTTTAGGTTCCCTTATAAACCCCTTTTAAGCAAAAAAAGGGCACCCTTTCTATTCCTAGGTGACTGGGCAACCCACTAATCCCTGCAGAAGTCTTATGCAAAGCTTACTTCTTCTCATCACAGGTGAGCCGCAGTATTTCGTTCGGCATCCCGCCAGAGAAGTGGAGGGAGACCATCAGCCTGCGCCAAGATGGCAAGAAGACGATGATGTTTTCCAGGGTGATTCCTGGTGACGCGCGAACATACATATACGACACCGAGGATGCTTACTACGCACAGTACAGCAAGGCTCTCTTTGGCATTACGACGAAGAACATGGGATGAGATTGTCTCCGCCACTACGAAATTATTATGTCGGGCAGCATTCCCTTCTTTATCGGCCTGGAGAACTTGCCAAATCGTACAATGACAACTTTCCCCAAGGCACTGGTCGCCAGTGCGATGGCCCTGCCCGGAGTTCCTTCACAAGCAGAAGTTCTGAAATCGATGGCTGCGGGAGAGGTGCCTCAGGTGAACCTCGATCAGTTTGACATGATGGCATACATGACAATTCACAAGCAGCTCATGGAGTATGCTGGGCAGAATCTCCTGACCACCAGCAAGGCTTCCAAGGTCGTTCCTGAGAAGGATGTGCAACGAGTCCTTATCCATTCGAGAACTCCCGAGGTAGGCTACGGGCAGTTCATGCTAGTAAACGGGCTGCTCACTTGGCAACCAGAATCGTTGTGTTTGTTTCTTATTAATCTCATGTGCCATGTACAAGGGCTAAATCAAAAGTCTGGATGTGTGTTTCGTGAAAACTCTAAACCTTACAACGCGGGGCCTAAACCTCTGTTTCCTTGTTTTGGACGCGAGAGGCTCGTGAACAATGGGCACTCAGTGTGCGCAAGGCCTGAGGAGATGTTGCGCACGATGCGTGACGATTACACAGGTGCCCTGGACACTGCGTACGGAAGAGGCTTCTCCTATGCCCGCACTGTGGACCACACAAAGCTAGCACTTGACTGCCACGGGCCATGGGACTACTATCTCTTGCTTGCAGAGGGCGGCGACACCTATCCAGAGCCAGATGTCGAAGACACGAAACAGGCAAAACACATTCTTGCCATTAATTGGGACGACATGAAAGATGCCTTACTGCCGGCTCCATCCGTGGCAACGGAGTACTTTGTCAGAGAACTGGTATAGGGCTGCTTGGGCAAGCAGCAACCTGTGAATGCAGAAGAAAAGGTCTGCAGCACCACTGGTGCAAAGCAGCTAGTGCTGTGGTTTTTAAGATTCTGGGGCTTGTTATAAGCAAAAAACTGGAACCTGTAACATTTTGATGCTTGTAAATAGCCACAGCTGCTGCTCACGATGCCACGGGCCAGCAACAGCTGAGCCCAGGTTTGGGTCCCAACGGCAAGGGCCAGCAGCAGCTGATGCTCATGATGCGCCCAGGTTTGGGTCCCAACGCCAAGGGCCAGCAACAGCTGATGCTCATGATGCGCCCAGGTTTGGGTCCGAAAGCCAGGGCCAGCAACAGCTAATGCTCATGATGCGTCGGGGTTTGGGTCCCAACACCTTGGGTCCCAAAGTTAGTGCCAAACACAGCTGCGCCGGGATTTGGTTCCCAACGCCAGGGCCAGCAACAGCTGATGCTCATGATGCCCCGAGATTTGGGTTTAAAGTTAGGGCCAGCAGCAGCTGATGCTCATGATGCGCCGGGGTTTGGGTCCCGACGCCAGGGCCAGCAACAGCTGATGCTCATGATGCGCACAGGTTTGGGTCCCAAAAGTTAGGGCCAGAGGCAGCTGATGCTCATGATGCGTCAGGTTTGGGTCCCAACGCCAGGGCCAGCAACAGAGCTGACGCTCATGATGCGCCCAGGTTTGGGTCCCAACGCCAGGGCCAGCAACAGCTGATACTCATGATGCGCCCATGTCTGGGTCCCGATGCCAGGGCCAGCAACAGCTGATGCTCATGATGCGCCCAGGTTTGGGTGCCAATGCCAGGGCCAGCAACAGCTGATGCTCATGATGCGCGCAGGTTTGGGTCCCAAAGTTAGGGCCAGCAACAGCTGATGCTCATGATGTGCCGGGTTTGTGTCCAACGCCAGGGCCAGCAACAGGAGGCTCATGCTGCGCCCAGGTTTGGGTCCCAAAGTTAGGGCCAGCAACAGCTGATGCTCATGATGTGCCGGGGTTTGTGTCCCAACGCCAGGGCCAGCAACAGCTGACGCTCATGATGCGCCCAGGTTTGGGTCCCGAAGTCTGATGCTCATGATGCGCCGAGATTTGGGTCCCAACGCAGGACCAGCAACAGCTGATGCTCATGATGCACCGGGGTTTGGGCCCCAAAGCTAGGGCCAGCAACAGCTGATGCTCATGATGCGCGCAGGTTTGGGTCCCAAAGTTAGGGCCAGCAACAGCTGATGCTCATGATGTGCCGGGTTTGTGTCCAACGCCAGGGCCAGCAACAGGAGGCTCATGCTGCGCCCAGGTTTGGGTCCCAAAGTTAGGGCCAGCAACAGCTGATGCTCATGATGTGCCGGGGTTTGTGTCCCAACGCCAGGGCCAGCAACAGCTGACGCTCATGATGCGCCCAGGTTTGGGTCCCGAAGTCTGATGCTCATGATGCGCCGAGATTTGGGTCCCAACGCAGGACCAGCAACAGCTGATGCTCATGATGCACCGGGGTTTGGGCCCCAACGGCAAGGGCCAGCAGCAGCTGATGCTCATGATGCGCCCAGGTTTGGGTCCCAACGCCAAGGGCCAGCAACAGCTGATGCTCATGATGCGCCCAGGTTTGGGTCCGAAAGCCAGGGCCAGCAACAGCTAATGCTCATGATGCGTCGGGGTTTGGGTCCCAACACCTTGGGTCCCAAAGTTAGTGCCAAACACAGCTGCGCCGGGATTTGGTTCCCAACGCCAGGGCCAGCAACAGCTGATGCTCATGATGCCCCGAGATTTGGGTTTAAAGTTAGGGCCAGCAGCAGCTGATGCTCATGATGCGCCGGGGTTTGGGTCCCGACGCCAGGGCCAGCAACAGCTGACGCTCATGATGCGCCCAGGTTTGGGTCCCGAAGTCTGATGCTCATGATGCGCCGGGATTTGGGTCCCAACGCAGGACCAGCAACAGCTGATGCTCATGATGCACCGGGGTTTGGGTCCCAAAGTTAGGGCCAGCAACAGCACCTGGGCGCATCATTTGCATCAGCTGTTGGTGGCCCTGGCGTTGGGACCCAAACCCAGGCGGTTCATGAGCATTAGGTGTTTCTGGCCCTAACTTTGGGACCCAAACCTGGGTGCTTCATGAGCATCAGCTGTTGCTGGCCCTGGCGTTGGGACCCAACTCCCGGCGCATCATGAGTGAGCATCAGCTAAGCGTCTGAACCCCAAAGTTTCCTAAACCCTAAACCCTAAACCCTAACCCTAAACCCTAGACCCTAAACCCTAAACCCTAAACCCTAAACCCCAAACCCTAAACCCTAAACCCTAAAACCTAAACCCTGCACCCTAAACCCTAAACCCTAAACTCTAAACCCTGAGCAGTTGCAGGTGGCTCTGGACTTTGTGCGGCGCTTCTCGCTGCCCCTGGCTGCCTTGGCGGCCGTGATCACCGGAATCGGGTGCCTGGGCGGGGTGGCCAAGCTTCAGGGCCCGAAGGTTTAGGGTTTAGGGTTATTAGGGTTTGGGGTTTAGGGTTAGGGTTTAGGGTCTAGGGTCTAGGGTCTAGGGTTTAGGGGTCAAGGGCTTGCCTGAACCTGACAGCTTCCGAAAATAGGGGGTACCTTCGGGTCCTTCTTACAAGGGAACCCCACTATTTGTGGGTCTATATTTGGGGTCCCTTATTTCCCTAAACCCTAAACCCTAAACCCCAAACCCTAAACCCTAAACCCTAAACCCTAAACCCTAAACCCTAAACCCTAAACCCTAAACCCTAAACCCTAAACCCTAAACCCTAAACCCTAAACCCTAAACCCTAAACCCTAAACCCTAAAACCCTAAACCCTAAAACCCAAAACCCTAAAACCCTAAACTCGTAAACTCCCTTAAATGAAGCCCTGGAGCCCTCCTGATGTCTACAAGCAAGCAAAGAGGCTGGGCCCCGCAATCTTCGCCCTCCCAAGGCCTGCAGACCCTAAACCCTAAACCCTAAACCCTAAACCCTAAACCCAAAACCCTAAACCCTAAACCCTAAGCCCTAAGCCTTAAACCCTAAACCTTACTTCTTGCAAGGGAATCCTGCTCTTTTGGTGTCTCTATTAGGTGTCCCCTATTTTCGTACACCCCCCTGGTAATTTCCCAAAAAGGGGGTACCCCTTTCATAACCCCAAGTAGAATAGAATCCCCTTGACACGGACCCCCAAAAAGGGTACCCCTAACTTGGGAAACCCCTTGCTTGGAGGCTCAGGGCACAGAAACCGAATGATAAATGTAGCTATAACCCACATATAAGCCCCCTAGGTACCCTAATAGGGTTACAGTATACTTGGGTGATAAGTACAGTTTGGGTTACCAAGTACCATGAATCTCCAAGTGGTCTTGCCGAGGCCTACTGCGCCCGGCCAAAGAAGAGCCCGAGCCCTGCCGAGCCGAGGCCATGAATCTTTACACAAAGCTTTTCAGGGCACTCTGAAGGTCTGGACCCTAAACCCTAAACCCTAAACCCTAAACCCTAAACCCTAAACCCTAAACCCTCCTAAACCCTAAACCCTAAACCCTAAACCCTAAACCCTAAACCCTAAACCCCAAGGCTTCGGGGATGCTGAGCAATGCTGAGCCCCTTCTCAAAATCCGGCACTGAAGCTCTCCAAAAATCGCTGCCCTGCTCTGCGCTCTCTAAAGCCGTCTCCTCCTCTGCGGCCAGGCCACGGCCGAAGACTGCGCGCCCGCCAGCGCGGAAAAAGAAAGCCAAAGCTTGTGTTTTTCAAGGCTCGAAGTTTATGGAGTTAATGCAAAGACTCATGACCTTACGGTTTAGACTTACTGTTAGGTTAGCTCGGGATGTAAGGTTTCGGGTTCAGGGTTCAGGCCTGGTTTCATGGTCTAGGGTGTATGTAGCGTTCAGTGTTTGGGGCTTCGCGTTCTACACTTCATCTGGCGCAGTGTGCTTGTATAGTCCTTTGGGCCCTATGAACGCCTGGACGAATGCAATCAACCAGAAGACCGCCCGTTTCCCTACCGTGCCACAAATCCTACGAATCCCGAGCACCCGAAAGCCCCAACCCCCCTAAAAGAACAGCACACCCCGCAATATCAGAGACTCTTGCTCTTTACCAATCCTACAGTCTTGTGTAAACCTTGCCTTGCCGCAGCTCAAAGCCTAAACCCTAAACCCTAAACCCTAAACCCTAAACCCTAAACCCTAAACCCTAAACCCTAAACCCTAAACCCTAAACCCTAAACCCTAAAAACTCAGAGCCCCTAGCTCAACCAACCTGCGACTCTCAACTCCGCTGAGCCCATGGAGCCCCACGCTCTCGACCCCAACCATCCGACCCCGAAGTTCGAAGCCGTCAGGACCTCACCCTAGGCCCTAAACCCTAAACCCTAAACCCTAAACCCTAAACCCTAAACCCTAAACCCTAAACCCTAAACCCTAAACCCTAAACCCTAAACCCTAAACCCTAAACCCTAAACCCTAAACCCTAAACCCTAAACCCTAAACCCTAAAACCTCACCCTAGGCCCTAGACCCTTGCCTCGGAAAGCCTTTCAAGGCCCTTGCCAATTGCGTTCTAGTTCAGGCCTGGAACAAGGATCGGGCGAGCGAAGTGTGCGGAGAGGCGTGGGGTCTGGGGTTTTGGGGTGTTGTGGTTTAGGGGTTTAGGGGTTTTGGGGTTTTGGGGGGTTGTGTTTAGGGTTGTTGGTATGGGGTTTTGGGGGTCGTGTGTTGCTCGTGCCATTTTGTCCTCTGAGTCGTGTACTTTCGCACTTTCAGCGCGCCGGTGGTTCAGTGGTTTATGCTTCCAGTGGCGCCTGCAAGACTTCAGAGTATCCCATTCGAGAATCTCAGCAGAAGCGCTAAGGACTCAGTAGGCCTCAGTGGAATTGTTGCAGTCCTTCTGCAGAGCCTCTGAAAGTAGTGGGCCCCTTTAAGTAGACCCCAGACAACCCTAAGCCCTAAACTACATACCCTCAACCCTAAACCCCAATAAGGTACCCCTAACATCGTAAGCCCCCCATGTAGAGCTTCTGAAAGTCG